GCGACCCGCAGATTGCGAGTCGAGTGCCTTAACCACCTGGCCATGCCGGGCCCTTATTTTGATATGTCATGAAATACTTTATGGAAATGTTTTTCTTTTAAAAATTAGTATGAACACTCAAAGATCTGTATTTGGAATGATGGTAGAATAAGAGGAGTGTTCTGTAGTGTTTTACTTTCTTCAGTGATTGATTCCATTTTTTGGTTTTATTCAGAAATAAAAAATGTAAAAAGTCAAAATATTCAAACAGAATTATAGTCTACATGAAATTCTCTTAGAGTGGCACACACGATAAAATGACTTTTTATAATAAATTTATTTATATAGGAAAAACACATTTTTGTACAGAACAATACCCTCTCCAGACAAAACGTAAACATCTACTATATTGTCTGTCGACCCTATTGTCCTGAAGTTGGTGTCAAAAAAATGTCTTTCAATACAATACTACTTGAAAACAAGCTTTGATACTGACTTTTGTTCATTGATCTTGCCATACTTCATGCTGGCATACTTCATTTACCAATATTTAAAAGTCCTTTTTTTGTCCATTTTGACCAGAATGAAAGAATTTGTAAGAATCATAATCCTCTTCAACTAGTTTAATCAAACTAGCAAAAACATCCCATGATTCATATATATTTTTAATTTAGTCATCCCACCTTTCTCTCTTATGTTACCATTTCTGAAAGTTGGCTTTCCTAAAATTTGAAAAAACGTTTAATTCTACAATTGATTTCAATGAAAACATTGTGATCACTAGAATTCAAGTTCTTATGCACACATATATACATCCTCTTTAGCACACAAACAATGAGGAAAGTATTTTTCCTGAGAATTTGTTAGAGGTATCCAACAATCAAATATACTTCAATAACTCAGCTTCAAATAGGTAGATAAAAAGCTATTTTACTTTTTATGATGTTTCATCTCTTACAAGTGAGACTGTTACATAAAACTAAAATCAAACCAATTCTTTATTTGTATCGTGTGCATTTTTTTTGAACAATAAATCCATAAACAGGAATTAATATCTGTATGAATTCTCATATTTAGAAAAATTACTATTACAATCATTTTGTCATATCCAACAGAACTTAATAAACACTAACCTCTTTGTTACATTTACCCTGTGGTTTTATTTCCACTACAATTAACCCAATGATTTGGAACTTGTATACAGCTGCAAGGGAGAAGAATTTTCTGTTGCAACTTATATCTTCATACCAGCTATGAGGGTATCTAGATTAAACAAGAAAATGTATGTTTTTGTTAAGTGTACTACAACAACAACAATTCAAGTTTATGATCTTAAAGGGAATTTTTCCTGTACTACTTTTTAGACAATAACTAACTTATTACCACAGTTCAGCATTTCTTTTGAAAAACATTTTCATTGGATAAGACCAATTAATCTTTCCTATATAACCTCTATAACAAATCTATCTGTATCATGTAAAATTTTTTAGTTTCTTGTATTATAAATCCATAAATAGGAGTTGATATTTGCACATACTTCCATGTTTAGAAACATTACTATTATAGTTTCAATTGAGAGTAATACCTATACAAGTCTTTCTTCATCAGCTCCATAAGAATGTTTTGTTATGATAATAACAACGTTTTTCTCTTACCTCCGAAGCATTATAAAAAGTATAATTATCAATAGTTAATATAAGAAATTTGAAATACAGCTCAAGATCTCAAATGAAAAAATGACATAAATTCCAGAATTAGAACTGTAGTTACTATAATTCAAATACTGACAAGTACATTGTCATAACATGAGGAATAGCTTCTAGTATATACATACACAGTAACTGTTTTTTGTAGCCAAAGTACACAAATAGGTGTGACTATGTTCTGTACAAACCTTATATTTCTACTTCAACCAATTATTACAGGACGATCTAGTGTTTACTCATATGGGTTATTTACCTAGTAGAGCATCAAACAAAGGGCTTAAAATCATCAAAACTACAACACAGAATTCCTCAGTGCATAAAATACACATATCTGGATACTAGCTTTTTCACTTGCACCACAAAAGTAACATGAATAAAGATCTGATAAGTAATACAACATTAAAATTCATAATCAAGTGATGACACGTTACAGTATAGGACTTTGGAAAAGCTGTCAAAAAACCATCTCTATAAACAAATATACAGTTAAAAAATATTTTAACATTTGCCACACAAGCAAGCCCAGCATCTTTTAGTACAAAGCCTACGATTGTGAACAGGGCGATCATTCCAGAAACTGAAGATTTAGGGTTATTTTGATACACCTCAATGAATGAGGTTAAACACAACTACTAAAATAGAAAAAAAAAAAAATTAAATGAAATTATGGCATGATGAAATCTATATGGTTTATACTATGGTGGTACCATACTGGGCATTATACTATACTTCTTATATTTACTATTCATTGTAGAAATGGCATTTTTAATTTGAGAATCACTAGGGAAATCATCTTGTAACACATTATCCGTCTGCTTCAACTTCAACACTGTATCTCTGGGCTTTATCTGGCTGTTAGTTTCACACAATATTGAAATAATGATTTCTTATATATGATTCCAATCTCCCTTTTTGAAAATAGCAATACTATGGTACTCATTGTTTTGTGTTTCGTTGTCAATATGGTAATTAATTGACGAATCTCCGATTCAGCTGGTAGGTCAAATCAATTGGGATATCTTCGAATAAGTTCTTCCTTCATCCAACCTGATCCCACGATTTAGCTTAATCTCTACACTTAAACCATCACATTCACAACCAAGTTTGAACATTTCAAGCATGTTTCATTGTTACATGATTTTATTTTACATTTACAAGTTAACTTCTCCATGTTGACTCCCATGGTCTCGGGTCAGGTCCAGCAACATGAAAACTTAAAAATAGAGCCAACGTCTTCTTTTTTGTCTAATCAAAACAACCAAAACCTTTCCAGAATGACTTTTTTTTTATATGCCAGGCTGCTGCTCATGTGACAGATACTAAATTTTGTTATATATCAGTACTAATTTGATTCACACGTAAAATATACCAAGATCATGCAAGAATGCAGTTTTTTTAAACCGTGAAATAAAAAATATGTGCATTACTGCTTAATCTATGTAAAATAAAAACAATTATTCCAAATTTTATCATTAGGTAGACATACAAGATTCCCATTAGTTTAAAATGTATTTGTTATAGTATAAACAAGTTAACACCACCTGACATTTTTTGTACAGTTGTAACACTCTTTAAGCAATTCTTTTTCAGTGACATGCAAAATAATTTTTTTTTACTTTAAGAATAAATCCATAAGCAGAAGTTAATAAAGATGTATGCATTAATCTAAAATCAAACAAAACCTCCCGTCAAGTATAAGTAGAACTTTAATGAAATTTACATTATTACTATAAACTTACTCAATAGGAAACCACTCTCTGCACAGCTTCTTAATCTCAGGAAGGTCTTCAGGAACCAAAAATCGAAGCTGGACATTGCTGTCATTACACAGTGGCACACGAGTCATTCAGCTTTTTCTGCCACCATTCCTCACAGGGAATTAACACTGAAAATGCACAATAGCTCACATACAGATTAGCTTTATTACAAACTTTAACAAAAATTAACTTGATAGATCCAATACCACTGTTCCATTTAGCATGGATCAAAATTTTCTCACCAACAAACTGACCTACATTCTTTATAATATCTAATGCCTAAGAGGATTGTGATTTCTTTACTTACTAAATCAGAGTCAAATCTACCATTATTGTGTAGAATTTTACTGCTCCAAATACAGTTTGAGTACTCAATATTAAATTAGATAAGTTATGAAATTTATGCCATAAATGTTTGATTATAAAGTGACTTAGTATATGACTTATAATAAAATCAATCTTTATTATGCTTATGGTTTTATGTTTTCAGCTTCCATTGAATTATATCTCTCTTAATACTAAATAGCAGGTATTTTAAGAAGATAAACTTAAAAATACTTGAAATTGATAATGTTATTGGAGATGTGTTTAAACTAACGTGGTTCATACTTTTAATGTTGTTTTTTGTTGTTAATTTAAAAAACCTAAATGCTTAATAATTCTACATGTATCAAGCAGCAGAAAACAATTTTTACTCACATACTTATATTAGTGAAGTAGAAAATTTTCCCAGTAGTACACAATTTTAAAAATAAATATTTAACATACAACATAAGAACTGTCTTCTGCACTGGGGTATACAATTTTATTATATATTTATGACATTGTGCTTATGATGGCCATACTTGAAGCTATATAAGTGATCATTAAAGAATTAGCTATCTATACACTTCTTATAAACAATTATAAGTTAACTGATAAAACAAATATTTATTTTGCATGCAAGAAAACTAGACAAGTATATAACATGAAAAAAAACTAAAATTGTTAAGTACTTAGGAATTTACATTCCACTAAAAAGCTTTTCAAATGTAGATAGAAAAAGAAAGTGAACAACAGCCAAAAGATGTTTGAAATTATCCAAACCTAAGAATAAAATGTTAATAATATGATCTGTCATATGATGTTGAAAATACTAATTTATCATGAACTAGATAATTTCTAACTTACATAACAGTATGGACTTGTAAAATTAAACTCTGGCAAAAGCTACAAAATCATAACATCAAAACATCTTTCTATAAAATAGCTTTGTTACACTTACTATAAAACAATCTCTATCTTTGCTTCATTGGCTATATCAGGATTGGAAAGGGCAAGATACCCAGGACATGTAAATGGAATTTAGACCTCACAATCCATTTTTGGCTATTTTTCAGATGAACTGTGGAGTGGTGCAATGTTCCAAGTAATTTTCTGAAGAATTAAGAACTCCAATGGAGAGTCTCAGTTTTCACTCACTATAAAGACACTACAGTTTATGACTGAATATTTAGCTAATATTAAAATGTGCTGAGAATGTGATATGTTAGCTACATCACAATTTTTCTTACATCATGTTAATCTGATCTGGCTTGAAAGAGTTAGGTTAACAACTTGTTAATCCAATAAGAAATTTTCACCACTTAGAAAACAAAAGAAAAATCATTACTAAAAAATTGCTATTACCAAAGAATTTAGGATTTATAATGTGCAAATTCAAAAATCTAAATATATCTTCCTAATAAAAAAGAAATTATGATACCATCAAATAAACAATATCATAAAAGAACACATAATAGAATAAACTGTAGCTTTCTTTACTAATATAGTATAGTAAATCAAAGTTATTTACAGTACTTATTCTTAAAAAAAACATCAATTTTGACAAAATAAATGACATATGCTTAAATCAGTACAATGTTTTAGATGTAATTTATATGTTCTTTACATAACAAGCTAATTGTAATGAGTGATACTAATTTGTTTTTTTATTTCAATGTTTTTTTGTCTGAAAAATCTTTAATTCTCCCCACTATAAAAAACATAAGTGTAAGCAAACCCAAAATGCAATATAGTGCTTTTACAAACAGCACTGATTATTTGACATCTATGAAGGCCTATGCTATAACAAATTAATTTCTGCAAGGTATCTCTTCTTAACATACATAATATTTAAAGGACAACAAATGGCCTTTTGGTCTATCGTGGCAGTCCCATTCATATCAACACATATCCATCCATATTCAGTCCTAACTCTCCAAGTACTGATCACCTCTCTTATGTTCTTACAATCCTGCTATGTCGTATCTACCATGTCTGAAGGAAGTCTATTTCAAAGGCTGAAGAAGGTCAAAAGATTTGTGGGATAAGTTTTTCTCCATGTGAAACAGTATTCTGTATGCTACCAAATGCATAGAACTCTTTAATACCCCAAATCATGAATAAGATATAGGTCAGAATAAAGGGGAACTGAAGTTCTGAACATCACAGTTGGAATGAGCTGGCAGACTCACCTGAGTATGACATTTCCTTCTTCAAAAACTGAATCCCTGTCACGTTTAAAATAAATAAAATAAAGAAAGACAAGGGTAAGTAACTTATATACGAGTCTGAAATAACAAATCCAAAGCTTTGAAAATAGACAAATTAAATAGGTGTAGGGTGTACTAACAGTACTAGTATTAATGGATGTAGTCCAGTGGAACCTAAGGTGAGCCTTGCAGTAGGGTAAACATACAGTTTTATTGATGTTTCCTATTAATTAGGTTGTACTTAAGAATTTAAAAGATGTCACTCTGGAACCCTTGGACAGTTTTCCTACTTATAGACATGCAAAATAGTTACCATTGCCATATTTCTGTCTGATATATTTTCAGTACAAGAACATATCAAAATACCCAAGACACAAATCTGGAGGTATTTTAGTATTTATTGTCAAAAAGTCTTTATAAATGATTAGATCATTCATATCTACTCAATATAGAAGGAAAAAAATCAATAAAAATGATCCAAAATTAAAAAAAAAAAACAGTGACATTGGTGAATGTTAGATTCATAATTACCACCTAAAGGAAAATGGTTAAAATTTCTGATACACGAATGCAATATAATGAGATATGATTAAAATATGACTAATATTTGAAATGTACATCAAATGGCACAAAAACTTTAAATCTAACATATATTAATGACCAAAAGTAAAAAAAAAAAAAGATTAACATTATTATGTTTCACAGTAATGCATTCATTAATCAAGAATAGCTGTAGTTTTATAGCAGACATGTAACACAAATAAAAATGACCATTATAAAGACTAGAATTTGTTATACACTTCAACATAATGACTAGTATTTGTGATGTACTTCATAAAATTAATTGACTGTAATCAGTTGTGTCAGCAAGTTTCGAAGTGTCAATCTAAAAACATTCAGTAGTTAATTCTAAATAAACACAACTGTCATAATAGTTACAAAGTCATTCACAAATCAAAAGTGATAGTTGAATTAGCCGTTAACACTTCCTCTATCTGAATGTAATGCCTAATGCATGTTTTATCTGCTGGTAAGTCTTAAACCATCACTGTCATACTGTTCTATAAATTTACTTATATTTCACCAAGCTAAGCAGTGTACATCTATCATTGGCCTGACACTTGCAAAAAGATATACAAGAAATCTTTTCATTCTTGATGCTCAACTACAAGCAATAACTTTCATGTTTTGTTGTAAATATAAAGTTTTCAAGTTTATTTACAATGTTCAGTAGCTTGAATCACAATATATAATAGTGGGTGGGGAACATAGGTCTGCCAAAGTATCAATGCTCGAGGCTGAGAACACTTTTGAATAGTAAAACTTGGTTCTTAAATAATTTAAATTAGTTGCAAATATATACATGTATATTAAAAAGCAATAAATGATGATAAGATAAAGTTAAAGGGAAATTTTTGTGAAAATTATTCATGTGAAAATAATACTAAGGAGCAAATAACTCTGAATGATTTCTGCACATCAATCAGTTGGAAGAAGATTATGCCACTTTATTTTATTTAATCATTATCAAATACATATTCTAGTTAAGTTCTGAAGAGAGCAGGATTATTTCAACTACTTAATTTAGGTATAAAAACCATGTGAGGTCGGGTAATACTTTGGAAACAGAAAAGGAAATCTACCCTATTGCAAACCTTCCATTTGAATTCTCTACGGTACGTTTCTCCTGAACTAATGCTTTCAACTTACTTTGGACATTCAGTTCTTAATTTTGGGGATTTATAAACAAATGATGATCGATAAGACTCTGGGAGATTAAGAAGAAAAAAATAAGGAAAGCCAGATAAATAACATAATGTGAACTAATTCAAAATTTTCAATGTTATTAATAACTTATCGTTAAGTCGACTATGATAATATTAGTGATACATATGACGATCGTTTGATTATAATTTATACTCAGAAATTATAGTTCAAAATTTCTCCGTAACTTGTGCAAACTAATAATGTTAATACGAATATTTACTGTCATGTTGTCTATACTACATTTATAATATTAAAAAACAACAACTTTTGAACCGTTTTCAAAGGTAAATATAAACACATTACCCATAAACAGTCACTGTTTTCGTTTTTCTTAATCCTGTTCCTGGACCTGTGATTTTAAGACTTGCATACAGTGACGTCTGGAGATCAAATATGTGATATTTCTAACAATATCAAATCTTGAGAGATTAGCCCCCAGTGGCTCAGCGGTAAATTTGTTTGTTTGTAGTTAAGCGTAAAGCTACACAATGGGCTATCTGTGTTGTGCCCACCACAATCAAAACCAGGTTTCGATACTCGTGTTGAGAACAGCACTGATAGCCTATTGTGTAACTTAACCCAACAACAAACAAACAAAACTTTATACGATCAAAAGGATAAATTTATATACGTAGTAACAGGTGCGAACATATAGAAATATTATTATCATTCCTATAAAAAAAAAAGACATGTGTGGCTTTTATATCTTACTTACCTTTCAGTGTCACAGTAACGATCTCGGACAATCCACCATAGAAAGTGAAAACTAAAAAACAGTAGATATATATTGGGCGAAGGTATGTGATTATATGTTATTAGGACGGGGCATGACCTGTAGTTAGTGTTCCAGACAACAAAAAAGAAACCCAATGATCAAGACGCAGTATGCTGCTTCACACGCTCAACATTTTGGACTGAGAAGGCGTTATAGCCATGACAGTTAATCCCACTATTTATTTAAGAACAGTAATGTAAACGGTTGATGCTGCTGACTTGATTCCCTCCCTCTGATCAACACTTTTAAGGGATAGTGGTCTATAAAATTGGAATGTTGCAATAAATAACAAACAAGATATATCAGCAATATATATTTTAATATAGTGTTACGACAGCGGAAGTCATGCAATACTGGCAGCATGCGCGCTGGAGTTTCTCGAAGGATCATGAATTTTCCTGGCAACTCTAGTTTGTTCCAGGCACCCTCTTTTTTTAGTATATAAGCCTGGCAAATAAAGTCAGCGGAAAAAGGGATAGAATTGCATAGATAGATACAGAGATAGATAATTGAGTCAAGCAAACAGCAGGCACCGTAAGGAAAGTGTGTGAATCATTGTGATTTATAGTGTGTGTGTGTTATAAAGGTTGTTAAATCTAAAGTGACTGTGAAAATTCTGTGTATTACTAAAATTTGTATCAAGAAAGAATAAACAGTTTTAATAAGAAAGGACTTGTATTGCCGAAGTTCCTCAGAAAGAATTTATACCGGAAATTAACAAACGGGCAGATATGCAACAATAGTATTATTCTGCCCTTGTGTTTTATTTTTCATATGTGTAGTTTTCACATAAAACAAGGTCCAGAATGTTGTTAAGTGACTGTCATTTAATTATTTTTGTTCCTTGATGTTCGTGTGCAGTTACAACTATTTTGCCTATGATTGATATAGTTTTAATGCTGCACATTGTGCAATTGAAAATGTGGGCAGTAGTGTCTTGTAATAATAATAATTCAGATAGTATATCGAGGTTATGGCCTATCCTAGGTATAAATGAGAATTTATTGTCCCTTACTTCAAATTTTGTGTCATATAAGGGCTTCATAGTTACGAAAACATATTTTCCATGACTAGAAGGACTTACAAACAAGAGGGAGAGTCAGTAACTGAAGGGAGGTAGTTGTTTGATGAAGAGTCGCCAGGTCTATGAGAAGCCTTCTTCTGGATGTGGAACGTTTTCAGATGCTGTGAAAGTCAATGATTTTTATCTTGTTACATCTAATGACTCGAGAAGATAAGCCACCAATGTCCAGTGCACCTAGAATAGCTATCCATAGTCTTCCCTTGATGATTGACCTCAATGCAATGGAAGCACAGACGACTGGGGATTTTCATGGTGGTGCGAAATCTGACGAGTTTGAGACCATATGGCATGGTCTGTATAGGACTCCCAAACTTTCGCCATCCAGAGTAATCCAATTCCATCTCTGGTCAAAGTCACCTGAGCACATTTAGAAGAGATTGGAGGTGCCATTGGTAGATGACATCTGCCAACAGGTGCAATCTTACCATCAGGTGAAACTGCACACACCAAATGGCGAAGGGGATAAACCATAGGACAGTAATGATCTTTCTGAGCTGAAAGGTATACTGCCGAAACCATTGTGGATCATAGAATAATCTGGGATTATAGATGAGTTGCTGACGACAGCTTGTTGCTCTGCTGCCCAAAAACATGGATAAATTACTTGGACAAGACTCAGAATCCATAAGAGTGACACTGGGCCAGAAATGTAGAAGATATTTAGGTCAGGAGATGGTTGGGACCTCGTAAAGGAAAGACTCTGGGCATTATCATATTTCCCTGTCAGTGAGGCAAAGCAGATCATCCCTCCCCCTGACATTCAAGGAAACAGCAAAGGAGGATTTCGACCATTTACTGAAGCGACTCAGACTAGTAACTGTCTGGAATGGCTGGATTTCAGGGTTGAGTGGATCTTGGTATGTGCCTATTTGAGTACAAGTGTGTGAGATAGATAGTAACCAAAACACAGGTAGATCTTACAAAATATATCGAGAGATCTACACAAAAACACTACTTGTGTCAATAGACATGAATTTTGTTCAGGCGAATAGAGATAAATTAAACTTGAATGGAAAACTCATGCTCCTATCATGTCTATGAATATTTAGTTACTGAGCAAAAGTAGTTGTCGCCGACCTTGATTTTGGTGTTGCCACTCTTGAGATGGATGTACCGCAGAGCTTATTGGCCAGTTTTACTTGTGCAGTCAGTGAATTGATGTTCTGTGATAGAGTTACCTCATGTTTTCCTAGGATCAGTGGACTGCATGACTGTATGTGAGAGAGGAAGTCAAAGTATCTCATCTACACACGTGGTGCTCATGGTTTACCATAGACAAAGTCTCTTGCACCAGTATCATGTAACATGGTTGTAGAGCTCACTTGTGTAATAAGCTGTTTCTTATCTAAAAAGCAAACAGCATTAGCTCACTCATTTATCTGTTCTGCTGCTTTTTCTGCAATTATGGATGACTAATTATCCAGCAGAATTATATAATAGTCAATGGCATGGTAAACAAAATAGAATTAGCTGAACAAAAAGCAAATACACTGTACCTACACATCTGAGATCTGTAGTTGAGCATTGTGTAGATAATATAGACGCAAGGCAGTGGCAGCAACTTAGTAGCTTGTTGGCAGAATATGGCGGTGTACTTGTGGAACCAGATAGATAACTGGGTCGAAAAACAGTAACACAACATAACATAGATATAGATGATGCAAGTTCAATTAAACAACTAACATGTAGGTTTCCCCGGAGCACTAGAGATATAACAGTACTGAAGTGCAGTGGATATTAAAAAACAGGATCATTTAGCCTTCAGAGAATACTTGGCTGTCTATATAGAAGAAAAAAGGTTCTCTCAGGATCTGTATTTATTTTAGGTAAGTGACTACGACAACTCGTGTTAACACTCTTTCATTATCCTTAATCAAGGAATGTCTGGATGTGTTAGAAGGAACCCAGTAGTTCATTATTTTAGACCTACCTAGGATCTGTATACTTTCAGGTCAAGTGAATAATTAGTGCAGACCTACGATAGCTTTTAGTCCGATAGATTGCTTGTCAGAGTTTTTCGTCATGTTATGGGGCCTCTTTAATGCGCCTGCCACTTTTGAGAGGCTAATGGAGCTTATGCTGAAAGGGCTGCAATGGCAGAAGTGTCTTATTTATATCAATAGAGTACTAAAGTTTGGTCATACACTCAAAAATAGAAATCCATTAACAAAAAAGGTAGGCTTGAAACTGAAACCAGAAAAATGTACTTTCATGTGCATGAAAGTGAAATTGTTTGGTGATATTGTGGGTGCAGAAGGAATCTCCATAGATCCTGCTAAAATTGAAGTGGTGCAAGATTGGCTTCACTGTCGGTAATATGACACAAACCAGAAGATAAAACAGACTTTTAGTTTGGTGTTTCCTCGTGTTTGTGTCAAATTACCGACAGTTTGCGGCCAACTTCTCCACATTGCTCACAATTATTGGCCTTCACTAAAGTGTAGATTCACCGTAAGGAAATATAGGAAGCTGGATAAAAGTACTGCATGAGTACACTTTATTCATATATTCTCGCCCAGAGCCTGCAACATGACTGCCAAGTGTATGTTTAGTAACCAAACTTACTGGGATGAACACTTACTGTATGTCATTATGATGTCTCATGTAACTGAACAGAGATCAACAGGTTATTTAACGAATATGCTCGCAATCAGCCGAAAATACTTTCTCCTCGTGCATAGACCTGCTATTTGGTCTTCTATCTAGAACAGACTTCCCACAATGTTCTCAAGAATATATTGAGTGGTTAAAGTATCAGATAGTTGATGTACATACACATATACCTGTGTATATATATATATATATATATAGTCCATCTAGACCATTAAATCTACTATATAAAACTCAAAAATAAAACACCCAAAGCCAGCCCTTAACATTCAAATATTTATAAAGCTTTCTCTTAAACTCCTTTAATTTAACTACATCTACCACATCTGAACGAGATATGTTCCAGAGGCCAACAACTCTGTCAGAAAAATAAAGCTGTCTTAGATGAAGATGACTCCAGTCCTGCCAAAATTTATTTTCATGTCCCGTAGTCTGGAATTCTCACCATTAATATGAAAAAAATGATTCATCAACACTACAATTCCATTAAAAATCTTAAACACCCGAGTAAAATCCCATTAATCCTTCTTTTTTCAAGAGAAAACAATTTCAGAGTTCTTAACCTATCGTTTTATGACAACCTTTCCTCTTTTGAGCCTTTTCCAACAATTCAATGTCCTTTTTTAAGGTAAGAAGTCTAAGAATGAACACGATGATCCAAATG